TGCCCCAGATGCTAGATGTGGAGCCACAGAATTTAATGTTTTTCCTGCTGTGTTTTCATGCCATCTCTTCTTTCTAGATGTCTACTCTTGTTTTTTGGAATGGGAATGTTTGCTCTGTACCACTACATGTTGTAAGTATCTGACTTTATTTTTTAATTTTTATAGGGACTCAAGCTAAGAGTCTCCTTTGAGTCTCTTGGAAACATTGGGCTTAAACTTTTGAACAATACTGGAAATGATAAGACTCTGGGAACACTTGGAGATGGACTGAAAGTGTTTTGTTTTGTGAGATGTGTATGAGCCTTTGGGTAAAAGGATAGAGTATTATGGTTTGGACCTAGAAAGTTCCCAATGTCTCATGTATTGAAGCTTGGTCCCCAATTAAATAATGTTCAGAGGCAGGGATTTGGGGAAGTGATTAGATCATGAAAACTCCGACCTCATCAGTGGGTTAATCTGCTGATTATGAAATGGACTACTGGGAGGTGGGACCTTGTGGGAAGAGATCTGTCACTGGGGATGTGCCCTGGAAGAGTTCATCTCCTTGGCTGTTCCTCTTTCTCTGTTTCCCTGCTGCCATGAAATGAGCATCTTTTCTTCAGCACATCCTTCCACATGATGTTTCTGACTTGGAGCTAGCTGACCATGAACTGAAACTTCTGAAACTATTGACCAAAATATAGCTTTCCTCCTTTAAGTTGTTAATGTCAAGTATTTTGATCATAGCAATAAAAAATTGAACAATACAATGTTTTTGAGTAATTTATAAAAACATATGCCCAAAATTTTATCTAAGAGTATTAAATAAAAGGATACATGAATGTGTATGTTTTCTGTGTCTATGGCATACAGGAAAGATTCACAATAACATACCTTTCAAATTTTTTAGAAGGTAACATAGTTATGCAAAAAAATGATAGGAGAATTTTTTTTTGCCAAGTAAAGCAATTTATTCAACTAGAGGCAGAATTAATTTTTACTTGAAATTCAAAGTTTTTTCATAGTGCTATGATAAATATTGTACATCTGAATGATGATATTAAGATCTTCATATCAGGGAACAGTGGAACACACCTATAATCTCAATAACTCAGGAGGCTGGGGTAGGAGGATCAAGAGTTCAAAGCCAGCCTCAGTAAAAGCAAGGTGGTAAATAACTCAGTGAGACCTTGTCTCTAAATAAAATACAAAATAGGGCTGGGGATGTGGCTCAATGATCAAGTGCCCCTGAGTTCAATCCCCCGGTATCTACCCCGATGGGAGAATTTTTTAGAATCATGAGATTATGTCTGTTTCACATACATGCATTGGGTTATCCTCCACTGGAAGAATTTATGATTTATTTTCTGCATTATGTAATGTCATCACTTGTAGGGCAATCACAGGCATTTTTTCTTGCCACATGTACCACACTTATGTATTAGAGTGAGTTTAGATTCCTCTGTTTGAATCTCCTACTTTGTTGGATGCAAAAACTATCACCTTTAAAGCATATTTTAGCTTTTTTGAGATAGATTTACTTAATCATAAATTCTTATTAAAAATATAAAAGATTATGAATTTATGCTTAGTAGATAGTAAAATCACTGTAAAAATATGAATATAATAAATGAAGAGCGGTGAATATATTCTGAGTCAATTTTTGTTATGTATACCAAGTACAGTACCGAAGAATATTAGTTTTAATACAAACACAAGAAAAGCTCAGAAAAAGATTATTTCCATATTGGGAATTAAGAAGAAAAGACCTTGATCATGACCTGGTTTCAAAGCAGTCACACATTTTCATTTGCCATTAGAAAGTCATTTCTTTCAGTTCCTCAGTAAAGGAAGACCTTCTTGAGACTGAGATCTGATTTTAAATGTCAGTTTTTGTTTAAGGTACTTTTCGGCCACTATTAAATTATTTTTTATTGGTACTATATAATTACATGTAATAGAATTCATTATGCCACCATCTTTCATTCTTAAAATGCCTTTCAATTTATTATGAGAATATTATAATCTTTAATATCATAAAAGTACTCATTTAAATAATGGCATAAAGTTATTGTAGCAACTCAGTGAATTTTTCTGAAAATATTAAAATATCACCTATGAAATCCACATAATAATTATAGGGGTTTACTTCAAGATCTAGTTTCTTATAATCTTGGGTAAAATGCAGAAACAAGAAAATGTTGACAAATTTATGAATAGCAAGTTCTATTATTAGGAAATGTATAACCTTATTCAACAACTGAGTTCTATGTGACTGTGCTAATTTTAAGTGTAATAAAAATTTAACTAAGTGGTTAAACCTTCCGATAGATCATGTCCACATCTGTTTATCTGTTTGCCATGACCTGCACAGCTGAACCCTAGAAACTGGCTAGGGGTGATGGCGGATTAGGAAAGTCACACAAACATTTACAAAGAGAAATCTGGGATCAGTTGGGACACTGACCTCTGATGGAGGAGCAGTGACCCAGAGATAGCACAATATGTTTATTATGTAAGTTTTATCATTGAAAAATTATTTGTGGGAAATTTTCTTCAAAGCAGTCAGGCTTGAAGGTTACAGAGCTTGCAAGTTATTGTTGTTATCTTCTTATGCTCAGGCTTCTATCTCCAGTGGTTGGTGTCTGGGCTCAAGGTCAAGACTATTATTGTATGGTGTCTTTACATAGAATTTCCTCAGGTAGGACATTACCATAGCTCCTGTGAAATCTCATCATGCATCTTTGCACAGAAAATTCCCAGGCTAAAGCACAGCCACAGCCTCAAGGCAGTCAAAGACCATGGTTCATCAAGTCACCATTCTCCATAATCTATGTATTTCTTTATCATTCATATCTCTCTGGTGCAATGCAGGTACTATGGGAGCAGAGATGAGATCTATGTTGTTTGCTATTGACTTCTAGGACCTACAAGTCGACACATAGAATAATTCATCAAAAATGGCATTAAGCTGAAGAAATTAATGAATGCATGAGTTTTATCAGGATTGAAGAACAATGAAAACAAAACCATCACAAAATCAGGGGTTGCTTGGTTTTTTGATCCTGGCTTTATGTTTTGGTTACAGGATTATCCAAATAGCTTATCTGAGATACGCTGATAGTAAAAACATAACTATTGTACAATTCCCTATTGTATAATAGGGAAAATATTGCAGAATTTGCCCTTGATGAAGCTATGTTAGGTTTGTGACGATAAGCTTGAAAATCAAGTCAAATGGTACTTATCACAAAATGGAAGTTTTAAAAAACACATAGAAGATCACTATAAATATATATGTATACTTTTATTGTGAAGGGTATACTATCATGATGATGTTTTCTAGTAAGCTATTTTTCCACAAAAACAACACTTCAGTTTTAAAGCATATTTAGCATCCTGGTTCTGTTCTAAAATAATAATTTAATATACAATATCCTTTCTAAACAAGTGTTTTTTTTTTTTAAATAAATACTACCATGTTGTAAACTCACCAAGGGAACAAACAAAAATTAAACAACTCAATGAATAGCCTAGCTTGGGGATTCTAAAACCTTAGTGAATGGAATTAAGGCAGTGTCATTTATTTGAGAAGGAAGGCCGGTGCAGCAATGTGGAGGACACGTGGAAACTGAGCCACAAGAAGGAGTGAAGCCATGTGATTTGGTGTGTGACTCTGCTGGTGGCTTCTTCACCAGGAGCTGAGAGGCAGCATGATGGTCAGCACATGTGAGCACTTGGCCCCCAGGACTTTTCCAGGAGAGTTCAAGGGGAACCAGATTTATCCTTATCAAAGGAAAAGAGAGAGGAACAGTTATTGATTTTTCTCACCTCTCTTCTGTTTTCCATTGGCCAGAGTTTACCTTACCAGTATCATCATCTCTGTTTTTCTGCCTTAAATCATCCAGCCCCCTGAGGACCGTTTATAAACCAAGATCTGATGCTGAGAGTATGGAGATCACTTTCAAGTGCATAAGGGGAGAATAATCTGGATCACACAAGATGCCAACCAAGATTTTTATTAAGTATAATTAGAGAATCTGAGAAACCACATAATTTTGTCTTCAAAACAGTTTACCCCTTTTGCCACTCAGTGAGATCGTGCCCTGCAATAGTGTCTGGCTTTATAAATGTTATGACTTGTATAGTCACAAGGAGGGCATACTGAGGGGGCCCTATGCTTGTTTTAATGCTCTGCTCTTGCATTTTTGTTCTCAGATGCAGGGTATTCCTGTGCTGAAGAGGGGATGGCCTTGCAGCAATTCAGTAGGAGTGTATCTCCTCTTTCCCTGTGAGTGCTTCAGAGGCACACAGTGGCCTTGATCATCACAAATCCCTCCATCAGGTTTAATCTGCTAAATCATCATACTCAATGGGCAGAGCATCTTGGACTGCAGTCTGCACCACTGGTAGAGTCCTCTCTTGCTCTGGGTCCACTTGAAGCCATCAGCCTTTAGGGAAATTCTATAAATGGCCCCGTGCAATATCCAGAAAGGTGGCATATGTTGCTTCTTTTCTTATGTGATAGGAAATAAGGATAGGGCAACAATATACGTTTATTTTAGAAAGGATGTTACAACAGGTGGACTGGACCATTGAAAGTCTCAAGATATCACTGATGTTGGGGTCTCTGAGTCTTCTCAGTTTTATTTATTTTCTTACAAGAATTTTCTTGTCTTAAAATACTATGGTATTTTCAGTACTTGAAAACCTAAGTAGAAATATGTCTGTGTGTGTGTGTAAAATTATGGCTAACTCCTTTCAATGACTTGCATTTGGTATAGTCAGCATGCAAAACTTGTCACAAATAAAAAATTAAAAGAGACACTTTAACCTTGTTTAAATATACCCCATTAAAAAATAATAAATATACCCCGTACAACACTGATGGGAATGAATGCAGTTGCTGTTTCTCTCTCAGGGATGACTTGTCATTTTGCTGTATGGATGAGAAGTTTGAGAATTATCCTTGTTTCTAGTGTCACCTTGATTGAAAAAGATTGTCTTTATCTTTCTAACAGCTGTTTTTCAGGTGGAAAGTGGAACTGTTCCCCATCCAGAACAGTGGGGCCATAGAGAGAACTGCTCAGGGATGAGTGTGGCCCTTGCTGGGACCCAAGTTCTGTCTCTTTTCTGAAAGCCCACAAAGCTCCACTACCAGGACCCCCTTCACATAGCCCAGCCCCTGGGCCTGCTTCCTTTTCTCTTTGTCTGTTTTGCAGAGCTCTTCTTTTCTATGTGGAAAGAGATAAACCAGGAGACCTTCCTGCCTCTACACTGATGGTATGTTTGCACTTCTGTTCTTAGGAGTTTTTCCTTAAAAGTCTCTCATGCTGGGCTAATGTACGTTCTGTCAGTATGTCTCTTTCTTAAATGTTGGGCATTCATAAATATTTCCATCATATTGGTTTCATTTCTTTGCTCAGTATCGTTTCAGGGGCTTGTGTGTGGGTTCAGCCTTACACACTGGAATAGCCTGTCTTCCTCTGCCATCTTTAAGGTTTATGATACATTTTTTTCTGCTGATTTTGGAAGTCATTGCTGGTCCTTTGTTTACTCTTTAATTTTACTGAACAATTTTGTCATGCTACCTATTCCCCACCTCTTTCAGGCAGCATATCATCCTCCATCTGTCATGTTGCCTTGGTGATGATCATGGATGTGAGTGGAGGTTGGATAAAATATGAAGCCCTGTGGTGCAGTTGAAGAAGTGATCCCTACTAGGCAAGGGGCAGGCAGTGAATGAGGAGGATTCTCCATGGGTGGATGAACTCATTTGCTTCAGTGGCCGCTTCACAGCTCAACAGGAGGATTCTCACTTCTTTTCACATAGAATAGTCCTAATACTGCATCAATGATACTTGAAAGTATTTTAAAGCCATATCTTTATGACTATCACAGTACTAAGCAAGAGAAAGTTTCCTATGAAATGATGAATAAGTAAAAACCTGATTTTGGGGATTAGAAAAAATGAGTTGGTATCTGGATTCAAATAAATGTGTGTTTCTGAGTTTGTGTGTGTGCATGCATGACCTTGTGAAAGGTAAAATGATAGATATGTACATTTTGATGTGCCAAGCATTTGAGATATAAATATATATATATAATATATATGATTATAGGATAACTATCATGCTTTGAACATCATTGGAAAAATGTCTACATAGGACCTAATTTTGAAGTGTTTAAAACCTCAGTGATAAGGAAGTCCTGCATGCCAGTTTAGAATCTAATTATATGCTATATGTGTTCATATTTTGTAAGGTTATTTGCCCATGACTTAAGTAGTCTGACTAAAATATTTAGTTAAGGGAAAAATAGCAAATAAATGCAAATAAATGAATCTTTATTTGCATTTGAGTACCTGAGATTTCAGCATTTCCTTCAGCGTCAACTACAAAAAGCAACTGTGTGTAAGAGCACAATATCAGGATGATGCTTAGCTGTGCTGTCTGGGAAATCACAAGATTTTCATTAAGAAAGCTGTGAACCAACTCATGAGTAAATCTTGATGTTTGCTGGTTTGACCTTGAAGATGAGAGTTTTATCATGAATTAATGATACACAGCCTTTTAGATGGATGCATTAGCAAATCTTCAGTGATTTTAGTCATTGGAGTTTTTCTAACAGACAATGGTTGGTGTTGAAATGAGCATGTTTTCAATTATCTTAAGTGTGGAATTCATAATGGGAAATTTAGGAAATGGATTCATAGCACTGGTGAACTTCGTGGACTGGGTCAAAAGAAGAAAGATCTCTTCAGTTGATCAAATCCTCACTGCTTTGGCACTCTCCAGAATTGGTATGGTTTGGATTTTTTTCCTAGATTGGTGGGTACCTGTGCTGTATTCAAATTTATGGGCAACTGTAATGATTATCAGAATCATTTATTCTACCTATACAGTAATCAATCATTTCAGCATCTGGTTTGCTACAATCCTCAGCATCTTTTACTTTCTCAAGATAGCCACATTTTCTAACTCTGTTTTTCTGTACTTAAGGTGGAGAATTAAAATAGTTATTTCAGTGACACTGATGGTGTCTCTAGTCGTCTTGTTTTTAAACATTATTGTTATAAATCTATACATTGATTACTGTGTTGATGAATACAGAGGAAACCTGTCTGACAGCTCTGGTCTGACTAGAGATGCACATTTTTACATACTTTTATCATTCACCATTACTGTGTTCACATTCGTACCCTTCACCGTGTCCGTGATCACTTTTCTCCTGCTCATCTTCTCTCTGTGGAAACATCTGAAGAGGATGCAGCACAGTGCTAAAGGGTCCAAAGACACCAGCACCACGGCCCACATGAAAGCCTTGCAAACTGTGATCGCCTTCCTGCTACTATATGCCATTTTCTTTCTGTCCTTTCTTGTTCAGTTTTTGACCTCTGGGTTCCTGAACAGTAATCTGATTGTGTTTTTGATTAAGGCTGGTGGGGCAGCTTTCCCTACAGGCCACTCATTTGTCCTGATTCTAGGGAATGGGAAGCTGAGACAGGCCTCTCAGTCAGTGCTGTGGAGGCTGAGATGCAAGTCCCAAGATTCTGAGCCATCAGGTCCATAGACCATTTTGGGATCATTTTGCATATTCTAGAAAGAAGTAACTTAATACAAAATTCTTGTAAGTTTGTACTTTCCAAATATTCTTATATGAAATATAGCTTTATGAATTTTATAAAATTACGTTTGAAATATATAGTAACTATATATGTTGCAACTTTAGCAGTACATATGCAAATTTGTATATTAGCATGTTTTATACATGCAAGGATATCAATGCAAAGTCATTAAAGATAATAAGCTTTATAGTAATAAATAATATGAATTTTCTGTCAGTCATTAACTTTTTAGATTTTAAAATGAGGAATGTAAAATATAGAATATTTATGTATGTATCTTTGCATATGAAACATGATCACTAAAAATAAAACTATAATTATATTCATAAATTAATTCTTTAATTTAGAATAAGTGCCTAAAATAGCAGATAAGAAATGAAAAATGAAATATAACTATTAGACATCTATACACTAAATCAATTATTTCAAATACAAGACCTAATTTACAC